GTGCCTTGCCTCCCATCAGGACTAACTATGCAATTTGCAATGCCCAATGCAAAATGAAAATGTGGGACCCCTTGTTCAGATAGCAGGGAAAAAAAGCTTTTTCCTTTCATCCATAGGTTCTCTCTTTCTCTCAACTTGTGACAGTGTTTTTGATGTGCTATTTATTGTCACACACTCCCTTGGGCATAGGGATTTTTGCAACATAAGTGACTCCTGCAACTCAGCATCTGGGTGTATGTGTCTGACCTTAACGCTTCCTGTACCTGTAGCCACATACTACCAGTAGAGAGAAGTAGAAGAGTGGTGATCAAGAGCCCATCCAGAGAGGTGGGCATGCAGGACCATGTGTGAACCAAGGTTCCAAGCAGGAAGAATGCAAAGGATGAAAGAAATGCTCCGTTGTCCTATTCGCTCCACTTAGCAAACACAAATTCAAAAATAAAAGTATTAGGTTTTTCAAGGTGGCAACTGCAAAGCACTAAACCCAAGTGTGGGGCTCTCTTCCAAGTGTGGGCCCTCTGCAACTGCACTAGTCACACATCTACAAAGCCAGTCCTACCTCTCATATGGATTTCAGGATCTTGGAGTGTGAACATAGTTTGTTTTACATCTTTAAATCTTCTGTAGCACTTGTGCTTAATTGGGGCATGGCATTAGCTGCAGCATGCCTATTGCTATTAATGGGCTATTTTTCAATATGAGAAAATGAGTAGGGGATATTCGGCCTAGTGACCCATTTCTGAGCAAGCAAATGATAGAACTTTCCTGGCCTGGATGAGAGGTTTTTATTGAAATCCAGTGGGACCTCTGAAGGAAAAGCACACTCCAGAATGAATCCTGATGGATGCATTTTATTAAGCATTTCCAGGAATTACAGACTAAGAATGTAGGTAGGGAGAGAGCATAATTGAATAAACATGGAAACTCAAAATTCCCTGAGGCACCCCTGAGGATCCAATGTCACCATCTGAAGATGTGTTCTTTCAGAAGTGAAAAGATTGCATATGTGTGTATTATGTTCTGTGTAAGACGTAGAAAAGGAAACCAGCTCTGACTGGTCACCCTACAGAAAACTCGATGATTCACAAAACTGTGCTTCATTGCTCACTGGCCTTAGGGCAAGGCCTTTACTTTGGCCTCTTTCACCAGGGAAGCCATGGTGTGGCGGCCCAGGGTCCTCGCAAGGCCCTGGCTCTAGGCACTGCTCTGCCAGCACTAGCACTTTGGTTCCAACCATTTGGGATCTTATTCTCATCTTTTAATGAGCAGTTTAGTCATTTCCCGGCCTCACTGCTGTTATTTAATGAACACACCACCAGTATGAGTGCTTTTACACCATTATTTCTAAACCGCTTCCATATGAACACTGAACAAGGAAGGTGTAGTGTTATTATTTCTGGATTAGCCAGGAGGTAATTATAAAGCAACATGTTGCGATCACTTTGTGATTTTTATTCCTCATATGACCATACTTTCTTTAAATCTTTTTCAGAAGAGAAGTGTTTAACCAGGCTTGATTGTCCTTCATGATGATAAAAATGAAGTTATCGGTCAATATGGTCTTTACCTCTACTTTCATATATTTTATACACATGATGCAATTACTCAGGAGATCTTCTTTTAGCAAGATTTTTCCAAATCCCATTTATATCACTCTATCACTCAAGGTAACAACTAATCTTAGGCATAATATATCATTGCCTGCCTCTGAGGGGATCCAGAAGGTTTGGCAAATGCAATTGAACAGACATACAAGCAGCCCCAGAAAGCCAGAGTTATATGTATTTTGGAAGGCAATGGTCCCAGAGGAAACAACAAAAATATCTGTTCAGTAATGCAAAGTGCTCCCTCCACTCTGCCGTAATTCGAAAAGAATTTCTCCCCTATACAAAAATAATTATGTATTAAGTTTGGATTTTCTGGAACTTGAAGCTTCTCTAGCAATAACTATTAAAATGTTACTTTACATGTTTCTATCGCTATTTTTCAGATGTGTCATTCCTAGCCATAAGTACATATGGAGCCTTTACTAAGGGTGTGTCACTGCTGCAAGCACCAAGGCTGTAGTCACCGGAACCATCATAAGAGTCTTAGCTACGGGCTGGGAAATCAAGACCAGGGAGGGGCAGAAATTTCTCCGCAGTGAAGTGTATTCAGACCTCATAATGAACCACTTGACTTGGGACCATCAAAAGGACCATCAGACTGGTGTGCAGTTTGCTCAGAAAGACAAGAGTAAAGGCAAGGAGACTGAAATAGAGTCTCTGCATGAGGGCACTTCCACACTCAAACAAATAAATTATCATTTGCAGGCAAATGGACTAAGGCCAGTTGAGTCCTAACTATCAGAAAATGGAGCAAGAATGAAAAGGAAGCCAAGGTTACTCAAGGCTTCATAGGTATTAATGACCACTAGGTCAGCCCATTAACAGGTCTGTACAGACACGGAATCTTGAATAAGAATCTTTAATGATTAAAATGTGCCGTACAGGCAAACATTCCCTTCCACTCAGAGAACAAGAAGGAATGTGAAAAGTCTGATTTCTGTGGGAAAGCACTTTGGTTCCAACCATTTGGGATCTGATTGACATCTTTTAATGAGCAGTTTAGTCCTTTGCAAGCCTCCCTCCAGTTGCACACAGGAGCATATTGCACATGGGATGTATCCCATCTGCTCCACACGGAGGGAGTTTCCACTGAGCACAACACAACAAGGTGTGGAGTGGAATGAAGCCTTGGGTGTGTGTGCATTGTGAGATAAAATGACGATAGGGGCTTGTTTCTTGGCATGGCCCAGCGTCAATCTCTGTAGGCAGGGCAGGCTCTATTTACCCATGGGCTGGTTTGTTCCACACTAACCCCAAGCCACAGAGGTCACACCATCAACTGGGACTCCCTCAATGTGTCACCACAGCCAGTGTAGGGCAGTCCTTCTCAGGCTGACACCAAAATCAGAAATGACCAAATATAACAGACTTTTTATCCTGTAGCCTAACATCTCCTTTACGCAAGTCAAATTTTTATAAGAAGCCTACTGAGCACCATATATTTGTCTGCATATTTTAGATTCTGTGGAGGTGACCACAACCATTGGTATGTTCTGTCTTCCTGGGAAGACATTCTTCTTCATGGGAAGAATGAAACACAAAACAAGTTCTCAGGTCTAAAGTCTTGCTCATGCTTCATTAGCACTTTCGGCCTTGGATGAGACCAGGATTGAGGTGAGGGTTTACCCCCACCTCGACTCCCACACTCCCTCTCCCTCAACCTCCCACACCACACAAAGTACAGAAAAAGAGGTTCTTCTGGTTGTAGAGACATTGAAGTAACAATATTGTATAAAGGAGGAATTTCTTCTCTTTTACCCACAGGAAACCTAAGGTCTAAAGAAAAAAATAAATGCCTCATTGAAAGATGGGAAAATAGAATCTAGGTCTCCTGGCTTCTAGCTTCATCCAGTAGCTCCCCAAATGGATTTTCAAATCCAGGGTGTATCCTCAGAGGAAGCACAATTATTTCAGTGAGGCAGGGGGTCCCCAGAGTTGTTATTAGATGTTAGGACAAATAAATAAGAGAAAAAGGGAAAGCAATCAGGTTCTGTAGACAACTAAGGTGAGAAGAATCTGGATGAAACATAGATTTTTTTCCCCTATAAATTTCTTAGCCCATTTGATGTGTGAACGTGAATTGTCAGTCTCTGAGGGGGGCATTATTGGACACTGAACTCTACCTATGTGTCTATGTATGTGTATGTACCTATATGTATGTCTATATATGTATGCATGTATGTATGAATATATCTATCTATCTATCTATCCATCTGTCTGTCTATCTGTCGTGGAACATCTTCCAGGCCAGCATTTCACAGGTCCACTGCAGAACTTCAGGCCCTTGTCTTTGGTATGACATGCAAAATGTGTGCTGGGCACTGCACCTGTGTACCAAGATGACTACCAGTGGCTGAGTTTAAACGTAGAGACCATGCTGCCTACTCATTGACTTCTCAGTGACATGAAGTTTCCTAAAGCAGATGAAGGCCTCTTCACACATGTCTGCCCCTTACCCCAGGCTTATTACCTTATGTGGATAAAGAGTGAGTTTAAAAGAAATCAGTGGACACATTTAAAAATATCAGTAATATCTCACTGCAGCTGTTCTAATCCATTCCTACCAACATTTTTGAAGAGATGTTGATAGCAAATCAGGCTTTATAACCATGTGATCCCATCTTATGGTTTCAATCCATGCACAGGAGGAAAATTGTGGGCACGAAGTTTCCAAAGGGAAATTTTATAGATTGGTAGTTCATGAAATACAGTTTTCCTCTTTGGTAAATTTAATTTACTAGCTTCACTGTATAGGAAGAAGCAGGAAAAAAATTAAAACCAACTCACTTCCAAAACTGTTTTGAGCTTTTACTTGTCTGCCCAATTGACAGTTTCTACTCTCTGCTTTTGATGAAAATATTTTTTATTATTTTAATGTAACTTCTGAAAACTAAATTATCTAGAAGCAAATAAAAAGATATTTCTTTTATAGTTCCCATAATTAAAAAACAAACACTAGGAAAGTTCTATCTAGCAGGTGGGGGAGATGTGATGGAGACAGTGATATTTGAGCTGAGCCTTGAACAATGAACAGGAGTCTACCGAGAGAGGCTAGGGGGTGGCCCTCCACGATAAAACAACAGCACGTACAAAGGCATGGAGGCATACACATCTTGACTTTTCCGGGAACGGTGGGAGTGCTGGTGAAGCTAGAATATAGGTACATAGCATAAAGTGGCAGACGGGAAGCCTTTGGAAATCTTATTACAAAGGACCCTGGATGCCATTCCAATGACTTTGAATTTTCTGTAGGCTGCCAGTGAAATTTCCAAGCATGATAGAGTCATGTCTATCTATGCACTTCAGAAAGACAACCTCAGGGTTAATGAAGAAAATGCATTGGAATATAAGAAACTGATGACCAGAGTGATCAATTGCATGACTGTTGTGAAAGTCCAGGTGAGGGGAGCTGTGGGCACGGTCAGAGTTGAGAGGCATTTCAGAGATAAAATGACAGTAACTAACTGGCTGTGAGGCTGAGAAAAAGGGCTGTACCAGATACATGGTGCTATCATTAAGTGAGCTCAACATTGCAGAAAAGGGATAGGTTTGGTGGGAGTTGCTCACAGAACATGTTTAGCCTAAGCAAAACGATAGCCATGGGCTCAGATAAAAGTTAAGAAGAGGAAACCATTCCTACATTCCTATAGGAGCTGCTATCTGGAAGGCCTAGTATACCCACAGCTTTTCGACTGTGATTTTGTTTGATTTTAGGGACTATTCTTTTTCTGAATCTGAGCAATGTTAACGTGTAAAATACTCACACCCACAGCTTCAATTGGGTGAGAAGTTATCATAAATTATATTGAGTTTGTTGTGATACCTTCAGCTTCAACAAGTGATGAGTCAGGTCAACTCCACGTGAAAGTTCCTTGCTAAGCATACAGATATTCTGAAAGGTTTCCTGGTACACTGGGTCATGGCACAGATAGGAGAAATTGAGGATGATAAGTCTTTGACCCCACCTGGTAACACCTAGTTTGAGTCAACCTGGTTGAGTACAAATATGAGAAGTCTTCTCACTCAGGTCCATGCTTGCCTGCTCCTCTGTCCACTGCTTTCGTGAAGACAAGATGAAGTTCACAGTGAGTAGATTTTTCCTTTTGATTTACCACCATATAGTTGGGGACTGTCAATATTCTGAGATTTAGGAGGTCTGCTTCTTATGGCATCATCATGGAAAATTTGTTTTAAAAAAATTCTCTTTCAAACACATGGACACAGAGAAGGGAACAACACACACCAGGTCCTGTTGTGGGATGGAGAGTGAAGGGAGCGAACTTAGAGGATAGATCAATAGGGGCAGCAAACCACCATGGCACACATATACCTACGTAACAAACCTGCACGTTCTACACATATATCCCTTTTTTTAAAAGAAGAAGAAATAATGAAAAAAAATCCTTTTTCTATTTATGTAATCATGGCATTTATGAGCATCTCTATAGAGAAGGATAATTGTGCTGATATTAGACGCTGTCTGAGCACCTTACACTGACTTATTTTTAACAAAATGACTTTCCACATCACCTGATTCTGGTCTCTATGCAGGGTAAGCAGTCCCTAAGTCCTAGAAAGTCCCTGATCATCCCTCATTCTTGAATTTCTCCTTTTACCAAAATTCTTGAGCTTGTTCAGGCAAGATGAAAAGCGTATTATCAAAATAAGTGGGTGAGATAGACTTCTTGTCACATTTGTTACAGTAAAATGGGTCTGCAAGAAAGAAAGATTTGCCTTGTCCTCTAGCATGGCCATTTAGTTAAGAAAGCATCTGAAACATGAAGCTACCACAGCATCTCTCCTGTGGTTCCAGGCAGAAGTCTGAGGGTCTAGAAGGAGATGGACCGAGAAACCTGGCCAAAGTAACTAGTAGTGCTGGGTTTCTCACAACAGGATGCAAAGGGGCTAGAATCAGATGACTGTTTTCATGTTTCAACATACTACGTGCTGGAAAACGTTACGGCAGACTCTACTTTATAATGGGGCTGCAAATGTAAAATGATGAACTAGAACTAGGTCCTCTTAATAGCAGCAAAGTTTAAAAGGGTCAGAGGGAGCTCCAGACACAGGTTAGATCTGATTTCTCTCCTAGTTCTGCTGTGAACAAGAGGTATGAGTTTGGCCAACTCAACCCCTGAAGCTCAGTTACCTTATCTGTAAAATGACTGCATTGTACTAGTTGTTCTCTAAAATCTCTTCTGCCTCTGACTTTTTAGGAGACTGATTTTTAACTCCTTTTTAAGCTATTGGGAGAAAAATTTATTTATTTATTTTCTTAATTACCTTGACTCTCTAGAGCAGTTCTCAAAACTATTTTGTCCCAGGCAGAGGAAATGAGACTAGGTACCCAGAAGGAGGCACCCTGCATAAAAGCTCTGTGCTCTGACAACCAGTATCAGGGACCCTGTAACAAATAATTAAACCAGGTATCCTGGAACACTGCTAGTGGCATCGCCTCTGCTGATCACTCTTGCCAGCCAGCCATTCTATCCTTGCTTTCTCATCATCAGCATCCAACCTGCCTACTAATCCATTGCTGTGGAAAGTCTTTTTTTAATAAAAAGATTATTTCTATTAGGAAGAAAACATCCCATGTTAAATAGGAAAATTAACTGAAATGATTTTCAGATGTGATTTTTAGAACTTACAGCCATTTCAAACCATAGTATTCATTTATACTATGCTATTTATTGTAAAACTTATTCTTTTTTTTTCCAAAGAAAATAAGACAGTTTGCTTTATTTTATTTTATTTTATTTTATTTTTTATTATTATTATACTTTAAGTTCTAGGGTACATGTGCATAACGTGCAGGTTTGTTACTTATGTATACTTGTGCCATGTTGCTGTGCTGCACCCATCAACTCGTCTAAAACAGTAACTTTCTTATATTGGGGCACTGACCAAAATTCAATACTGATACAAACATGTTTCCTAAGAGGTCAAAATATGAGCCAGGTGAATTTTCTGATTTTCACTAAAGAGAGAATTTTAAACCTTATAAAACAATTAGAAACAAGTGAGTGAGAGGTAAACATCAACAACCTGTGTAACATAAGCCACAGTACAAATTTAAGCTGAATAACCAAGCCCTGTCAGTTACCCCAAATCATTTTTGTTAATATTTAGGAGAATGCACATATTTTCAATAACTTAAAAGTGAATCTTTACTCCCACCTCTTAATACTCACAAGAAGTATAACTTTCTTCTTTTACTAGATTTAAATAATCCAAATATCTATTCAAGGTAGGATGCTCTGGCATTAACTATAGCTGAGTTTATCCAAAATAGAAAAATCATGAAGACTTATAAGGCATTTAAAAAATAATCATTTATAGCAAGTCCTTGAAAGCCCTAGATAAGAAAGGCAGTTCTCTACTTTCTAATAACACCTATGGTTTATATTACTTAATGTATTTCAACAAAACAGCATTCTGACCAATGATAATTTATAGGAAATTCATTTGCCAAGTATATGTTTTATTATAAAGTTAATATTTTTACCAATCTTAAAAATTTTTAAACTCTATTCTGACATTTCCAGAAGTATTATCTTAGCAAAGTCACCTTTATGATGCCACTTATTAAACTGAAGAGAAACAAGATGGTACATTTTGGGTTTTACTTAAAAAGGGATTTGATTCAATAATTTGATTTATCACTACTTGAAAATTACATTTTCTTCCTCAGTACTGGATGGCAATGAGATGAAAGCAGGTTTCCTGGCTCTCAACTTCCCTTCTTCATCAATTTTTCCAGTTTTTCATAGGACCTACGCTAAAAATTCTGAAACTATATATCACATTAATATAACTACTTACAATTAATGAGCAATTTCACATTATCATTAAAACTTTTATGGTTAAAAAATGCAAGGTAAGAGAAGAACAAAACACATCAAACTAGAACTGAACACATTAGTAAAATAAGCAAATATTTTTTATAAGCTTGGATAGAGAAAGAAAGAAGACACCATTTTGCCATGTAACAGGAGATCGTTGTTATTTGCCATTTCAGATTGTCTTTGCTGGACTTCTTGGAGTCTTTCTAGCTCCTGCCCTTGCTGACTATGTAAGTCTCACCTTTTCAAGTTTGCTACCAAAATGCATTTGCAAATAAATGTGGTACTAAATCACTCTCAATCCCTTGTAAACTTCAGAATATCAATGTCAGCGATGACAACAACAAGGCTGGAAGTGGGCAGCAGTCAGTGAGTGTCAACAATGAACACAACGTGGCTAATGTTGACAATAACAATGGATGGAACTCCTGGAATTCCATCTGGGATTATGGAACTGTACGTAGCCAACATGCAATTTTCACTTTATTGTTTAAAAATAGGATTTCTTTTTAACAAAAAATGTGCATGCTAGCCATAAAGAAATTAAAAATAAATTCTAATTACACATAAGCATACAGTTATAAGTAAAGACGCCCATTTTGCCCATCCAATTTTGTTCCCTAGAGATAACTACTGTTAAGAAGTATTGCATGATCAGTTAAAATTCAAACCAATAAACACTATGTTTAAGGGATTGCGTGTATGTACAACGAATATGAACATCCTTTTGCCTTGCCTGCAGATATCCTAAATAATCTTACACAACATTACTGCTTCCAAAACTTAGCCTATCTCACTTTGTTTTCAAAGGGGGTTTTATGATCCCCTTCTAAAGAGATTGAAATTGACATTTCACCTAAAACTCAGGAAATGCAAATGACAATATTAATTGGTAAGTTAGGAAAGAGAAAGAAAGAAGAAAGAAAAGAAAAGGAAAGAAAGAAAGAAAGAAAGAAAGAAAGAAAGAAAGAAAGAAAGAAAGAAAGAAAGAAAGAAAGAAAGAAAGAAAGGAAGGAAGGAAGGAAGGAAGGAAGGAAGGAAGGAAGGAAGGAAGGAAGGAAGGAAGGAAAAAAGAAAGAAAGAGAGAAAGAGAGAAAGAAAGGGAGAGAAAAAGAGAAGGAAAGAAAAAGAGAATCAAAGAAAGAGAGGAGCAAAGAAAGGAACACTTAACACTAGTTAGGAGACTCAACTCTGCAATTATCAGCTATATATTTAACAAACTTTATACTTTTAAATAACAAAGTCTTTATTGTTTCCATTTTATCTGGTCAATTGGAAAAATAATTTTTGTCTTACCTGTCTCCCTGAAATGTGAGGATCAAAGGAGACTAAAACATGATAGCTTTTAAAGTTTATTTCAGTAAAACAGACGTATATAGAGGAGTTTTCATCATGCTACAACCTGAAAATAAAGCAAACCAGTTAGATGCTCAGTTTCTGCCCTCACAGAATTGCAGTCTGTCCTCACAAATGTCAGCAATAAATATGATTGCCAAGCAGTGCTACATTCAGTGCTCTTATCCCAGCTCATCATGATCTTGGAGTTCCACTTCTCTCTGCTGGTGGAACTGACTTCTGATAAGAAAAGCTCCTCGGAGAATACATGCCTCACTATTTGCCATCTACTTGAACAGGGCTTTGCTGCAACCAGACTCTTTGAAAAGAAGATATGCATTGTGCACAAAATGAACAAGGAGGTCTTGCCCTCCATTCAATCCCTTGATGCGCTGGTCAAGGAAAAGAAGGTAAAAATAAAAGGTTTTTTATTTTTGGTGAGGGGAGATGTTTTACAACCTTCAGTAAATAACGAGAAGATCACAGTCATTCCCTACTGACTACAGTATGTTGCTGTGTGCAGCACAAAGGGGAAGTTATTGGTGGTTGCCTGAGGGAAGGCAGCTTCTGCCACATCAAACGCTGTGGCTCACACCTACCTCTACAACCGCTGAGCAAAGCACTTGAAACCTTGACTGTTCGAGGAGCGAAGCTCTGGTCACACCAATAGGAGCCCTCAGTACTTTGTGAAGGACATTTTTCTGCAAGAGTTGGTTAGGGTTACCAGATGTAGCAAATGAAAATAGAAGATATCCAGTTAGGTTTGAAGTTTAGGTAAGCAGCAGGTCTTTTTAGTATAATATATCCTATGCAATATTTGGGATATAATAAAAAAGATCCATTGTTTATCTGAAATTCAAATGTAACTGGGTATTGTATATTTTGTCTGGCCATACTAATCCAGGTGAGTGGAAAGAAGAGATCCATAATGCTTTAACATGTTTGCCTGAGTTTATATTCCTATAACTGATAAATGCGTACCTTTTGTTGACAAGGTAGAGAAAATAAATAAACTGCATTCTCAGAAGATGATTATTACATAGTCCAATCCAAGGAATCTATGATGATCAAATGAAGTCCAAGTTTCAGAATAAATTTAGCCTCAGACTTCTGTTTTTATGAGAAGCTGAGGTTTCAAACCAGCTAAATCTGTTAGGACACTTACAAATGTTAAGATACACAGAAGAAGCTAGAAATGGCCTTCTTCATCTTTTTTTTTTTAAATTTTTATTTTTTAAATTTTTATTATTATACTTTGAGTTCTAGGGTACATGTGCATAACGTGCAGGTTTGTTACATATGTATACTTGTGCCATGTTGGTGTGCTGCAGCCATCAACTCGTCAGCACCCATCCACTCGTCATTTACATCAGGTATAACTCCTGTTGCAATCTCTTCCCCCTCCCCCCTCCCCATGATAGGCCCTGCTGTGTGATGTTCCCCTTCCCGAGTCCAAGTGATCTCATTGTTCAGTTCCCACCTATGAGTGAGAACATGCGGTGTTTGGTTTTCTGTTCTTGTGATAGTTTGCTGAGAATGATAGTTTCCAGCTGCATCCATGTCCCTACAAAGGACACAAATTCATCCTTTTTTATGGCTGCATAGTATTCCATGGTGTATATGTGCCACATTTTCTTAATCCAGTCTGTCACTGATGGACATTTGGGTTGATTCCAAGTCTTTGCTATTGTGAATAGTGCCACAATAAACATATGTATGCATGTGTCTTTATAGCAGCATGATTTATAATCCTTTGGGTATATACCCAGTAATGGGATGGCTGGGTCATATGGTACATCTAGTTCTAGATCCTTGAGGAATCGCCATACTGTTTTCCCTAATGGTTGAACTAGTTTACAATCCCACCAACAGTGTAAAAGTGTTCCTATTTCTCCACATCCTCTTCAGCACCTGTTGTTTCCTGACTTTTTAATGATCGCCATTCTAACTGGTGTGAGATGGTATCTTATTGTGGTTTTGATTTGCATTTCTCTGATGGCCAGTGATGATGAGCATTTTTTCATGTGTCTGTTGGCTGTATGAACGTCTTCTTTTGAGAAATGTCTGTTCATATCCTTTGCCCACTTTTTGATGGGGTTGTTTGTTTTTTTCTTGTAAATTTGATGGAGTTCTTTGTAGGTTCTGGATATTAGCCCTTTGTCAGATGAGTAGATTGCAAAAATTTTCTCCCATTCTGTGGGTTGCCTGTTCACTCTGATGGTAGTTTCTTTTGCTGTGCAGAAGCTCTTTAGTTTAATGAGATCCCATTTGTCAATTTTGGCTTTTGCTGCAGTTGCTTTTGGTGTTTTAAACCTGAAGTCTTTGCCCATGCCTATGTCCTGAATGGTACTACCTAGGTTTTCCTCTAGGATTTTTATGGTATTAGGTCTAACATTTAAGTCTCTAATCCATCTTGAATTAATTTTCATATAAGGAGTAAGGAAAGGATCCAGTTTCAGCTTTCTACTTATGGCTAGCCAATTTTCCCAGCACCATTTATTAAATAGGGAATCCTTTCATCTTGATTATGGAAAAATTTAGCTGAGCAATACTCACTGTTGGCCTTGAATACCCCTCAAGTCAACAAACCACTGGGCTTGGCATTCATTCTCTCCCATTCTTCCCTTCTACCTGTCTTTTCCACACTCAGCTTCAGGGTAAGGGACCAGGAGGACCACCTCCCAAGGGCCTGATGTACTCAGTCAACCCGAACAAAGTCGATGACCTGAGCAAGTTAGGAAAAAACATTGCAAACATGTGTCATGGGATTCCAACATACATGGCTGAGGAGATGCAAGGTGAGTGGCATCCCTACTGTGCACCCCAAGTTAGTGCTGGTGGGATTGTCAGACTATCCTCACGCGTTTTCATAGTGGGCACCAGTGATGCAGGGATGGTCATCAAGACCAACATTTGTTCAGTGCTTGCTCTGTGCCAGCTGCTGTTCTATGTGCTTTAAGTGCATTAATTCAATTGGTTCTTCACAGCAATCTTATAGGTTCTATTTTAATCCTACTTTATGGATAAAGAAATTGAGGTATAGAGAGGGCGCAAAATCCTTGCCTCGGTCAATTCCAAGCATTTTGGCTCTGGATTCTGTGCTCTTAAATATGGAACACTGCCTTTCAAGTGTGAATCAAGAGTAGACTCAAGTCATATTCAAAAGAATGCATGAATGGCTAAATGAAAAGAGAATGCTAATAGAATCTATTTACTTTCTATAACTCAGACAATCACTGAATTTCTGGACATTCAAAGAATAGCTGCACAAAAACAAAGTGTCTACCTAGGGACCTAACTTAACAGCAGTTTTCCAGATCTCTGAATTGGTTGATTTCATTACAACAGATAGATAAACCTTGACATTAATGCATAGCTAGTTTGGAAACCCCTACTCCCCCAATCCCCTGCAAGAAAAGAGTCCTTGAATAAACATTAATATAGGCTTCTTCTTTTCTCTTTATTAGGGGCAAGCCTGCTTTTTTACTCAGAAAAGTGCTTCACAACCAATATACTATGGATTGTGAACATTTCCTTCTGTGGAGAAAAGGTGGCGTACTAAACAGCTTTTTAAAGCCACTATGGATTTAGTCATCTGAATATGCTGTGCAGAAAAAAATATGGGCTCTAGTGGTTTTTACCTTGTCATTCTGAATTTTTTCTCTACTAGTTATGTTTAGTTTCTTTAAGTTTCAATAAAATCATTTAGCACTGAATTCCGTGTATACTCACATTTCTTACGATTTCTTATGACTTGGAATGCACAGGATCAAAAGTGCCATGTGGTGGTGGCAAGTTGTTGAAGTGCATTAGACTCAACTGTTAGCCTATATTCAAGACCTATCTCCTGTAAAGAACCCCTTCAGGTGCTTCAGACACCACTAACCACAACCCCGGGAATGGTTCCAAGACTCTCCGACTGTTCTGAAGGCTGCTCTATAGTTGTTGTGCACAGTAACGTTTCAGATCAGCAAGGACAGAAATTCACTCAGAGTCGCATAAGCCAGAAAGGGTGGTTTGTTGCAAAGATACAAGAATATCTCAAAAAATCTGAGAGCAAAAAAAGCAGCTGGTTATCAGAAAGACTACATACAACCAGGAACTCTGCTGACACCAAGACCCAAGTCAGCTTCTCTCCCTGAAGCCATGTGTTACCTCTTCTCTCGTCTTCTCTAAATTTTACTTCCCTCTTTTTCGCATATTGCAGATGGCTTTTTTGTGCTCATGGCAGAGAATGGCTGAACCCAATTTTCAGCCTCATCTCCCATGTTTACATGTCTTTCCAGTTCAAGAGGTAATAACTCAAGTTGAATCCCAATTCCACTTTCCTCGATCCTGTTTGGTTCAAAGTTCACAACTTCCATTCACTGATGGCCAGCAGAGTGAAAGGTGTCAGAGAAAATAGAGACTCTAAATATTGTGTATTACAATATAAAACTGTTACTTTTTAAAAGTTGCTCCCATACATCTTTTTCAAATCCCCAGTGCCATAGGGGAATATCTAATCCAGTCCCATGTCTTCAGGGAAATAGCCACAAATAATCCTAACAAATAAAACTAAAGACATTGATTCTCACCATTTGTAAAAATGCTAATATTTACCAGTTTTTATTGGGATGAAACTGCTATATTTTTCCTCATACTGATGCTATTTCGTTACTGTTCACATGAAGTGTACTATGAGGTTAGTAAAACTTCCAAAATGTTCTGAAGCCATGAGAGGTAAAAATTTATCAAAACTCCATCAAAGGTCATGGTCTTAGATAATTCCCTACTGTGAGTGAGAAAGAAATACAACTGTGACTCATAAACTGGATACAATGTCATGTACCTGACTTTTGGGAACTGGTAAATCCCATGTTTCTTAGAAGAATTGTCTAGCCCCTATTTCAGGATAAAAAATTAAATTCACTAGGAATATACAAAAATTCTAGATTATATATACCTATCAAAATACATAATAGAAAAATTATAAGAATTGAGGAGACTTTAACAATTTCATTATCCTAGTTGAAGATTTTAACATACATCTTTCAATAAGCTATAAATGAAGCAGTTACAGATATAAAAAATGTTTAACACAATTAACAAGCTTATGTTAATGAACATATGTAGAACATTGCAGAATATATATCCTCTTAAGCATGTATGAAACATTTACAGCCGGGCGCAGTAGCTCACGCCTGTAATCCCAGCACTTTGGGAGGCCGAGGCGGGCGAATCACGAGGTCAGGAGATCAAGACCATCCTGGCTAACACAGTGAAACACTGTGTCAACTAAAAATACAAAAAAAAAAAAAATTAGCTAGGCGTGGTGGCGGGCACCTGTAGTCCCAGCGACTCAGGAGGTTGAGGCAGGAGAATGGCGTGAACCTGGGAGGCGGAGCTTGCAGTGAGCCGAGATCACCCCCCTGTACTCCAGCCTGGGCGATAAGAGTGAGACTCCATCTCAAAAAAAAAAAAAAAAAGAAAAAGAAACATTTATAAATATTGGTCACTTGCTGAGACATAAATAAAATCTCAAAAAGCTCAAATATTGGCATCATAAGAGAAGAAATTTTTCTGACCTAATTTTAATTAGGATAAAATAAATATTTTTCTCTAAATAAAACCAAATTACCCATTTGTTTTGAAATCAGGTATACTAATTCTAAATAACACAAACACTAACAAAAATTCATGAATAAAAGTAAAACACATATAGAACTGTGCAATAATGAAAACACTGCATATAAAACCTTATGAGTAGCAGCTATAGCAATGTGTAGTCAAAAACTGGTAGCCTTAAATCTTCACTTTATAGAAGAATGGCTGAGCATTGAGTTAGGCCTTCAGTTTTACAAATGAGGGATGAGCATAACATATACAAAACACATGTGAGGAAAGAAATAATATTGACAATTCAGAAATTAATAAAATTGAAAACAAATGTACAATAGTAGTAAAGGAATGGGGTCAACAGTTTATAAACTTGACAAGAGAAAATTCCAGACCAAGATGGTTTTTACAGGCAATGTAACAAATATTGAAGATACAAATTACTTTAAGCGTATACAAACTATTCAAGTGTATAGGGGGAAAACAAAACCAGGAGTACTTCCAACTCATTTTGCAAGAATATTATTAACTTGATTTCAAAACCTGACATGGATTGTATGAAAAAGTGAAATTAAAGAGTGATCTCTGTCATAAATATAGATGCAAAATTTCTTAACGAGATAATTACAAATCAATTGGGCAATGTACACAAAAGATAATATAGCATGATTAAGTTGGATGTGTCATAGCAATCCAAGTTGTTTTGATCATAGGAAATAATGTAATTTGCTGCATTAAAAGACAAAAATTTTATGATGTATCTCAATAGCAACAAAAAATACATAGTAAATTTGAATATTCATTATTAAAAGAAATAATTCTTAGAAAACTAGGAATCAGAAGGAACTTCATTAAACTACTGAATGTTTAATTCAGTAGTTAAACATTTGTTTGGATCATCCCCTCCAAAAATCTACTGTATCGTATAAAGCAATGAAAGCATTCCTATTAAAAAAAAAAAAACAAGATGCCTGCCATCACAATTTCTAGAAACATTTTACTGAAAGTTTTTAAAGCAAGAAAATAAACAAAAAGGCATAAAGATTAGAAAGAAAGAAGAAAAAAGCCATCATTCCGCCCAGATGACATGATTTTCTGTGTAAAAACTCAAACAAACCTATATAAGTTATAGGAGTCAGAGAATTTAGAGATTTCTAAGTACCAAAATGACAATCAAATATGAATTGCATTTTTATGCATCAGCAGCAAACATAGAAACTTTAATTTTTTTGTAGATACACTTATAATTGCAAAAGATATGATATACCTAGGAAAAATTATTTAATAATATTTCTTAAGCACCTTAATAGTGTTATATCCATAGCACTATTCCACTATAGAAATCCATCAGCATATAAAAATGCAAAGACCTTGCCTCTTTTAGCTAACATTTTAGTTAGAAGAGACAGAAATAATGATAAATATAATTAATTAATAGTAGGATATTTGGTAGGATAGTAATTTATGCTACAACATAGTTGCATAGTATGTTTTCTTAGCATTCTAAGAAAAAAGTACTGAGCAGAGTAAGAGGAATCAAGAGTGTCAGCAGGTAACAGGCAGTTTGTAATTTTTAATAGAATATTGGGATACGCATCGTTGTTGTTAGCCATGCCAATATTTCTGAGGGAAAAGCATTATGAGCAGAGGAAACAGCTAGTGTTAAGGCCTAAGATAGAAGCATGTCTGACACATTAAAAGTACAGCAAGGAGGTCAATGTGGCTGAAGCAGAATGAGCAAAGCAGAGAGTAATAGGAGATGAGGGCAGAGGGGTAACAGAAAACTAAATCATGAAGAGCAGCTTTGGGTGTTACTCTGAGTAAAATAGGGAGACATTGCAGGAATTTGAGGAGAGATATCATTTTTCTAAGTAATAACTAGCAAAAGAAGTGCTAGACTCTTATGGAAACTTTATTGAGATGTTAAGGTAAACTAAATAAATGCAGAGATATACCATAGCCTTAAATTAGAAGATTTAATATTACAAAATGTCAACTCTTCTCCAATCTATAGATTCAAGGCAAATTGAAAACAAATTTTCAACATATTGTGTGTGTGTGCATGTGTGTGTGTGTGTGTGTGTGTGTAGTACATAACAAACTAAATTTAGAATATACATGGAAGATCAGGGGCCAGTTGGGAGACAGTTCTCCATGAGTTGTTGGTGCTTCTACACATCTTGTGAGTAGAAGCACTGACTGCCCTTTGCTCTTAACTAATTTTTGCAAAGATTTTTTGTATGGCAAATAGCTTTGGAAGATAGAGATAGTGTCTTCCTTTAGAGGAAAGAGCAAGCATGCTGTCTATTATAAAAGATTCACGTTCCCAAAGCTCAGGGTTTCTCTCAGTAATGCAATCCACTGTGTGTGCAAGCATCAATCTGGGTCTACATCTTCACTCCTATGAGACTCATAGGCAAGGAGCACTGACACAAACATGCTCATGCTCATACTGCTTGCTGTGAAACGAGTAATAAAGTCCTTTGTCTCTGATCCAGAAGTCTCATGTCTTCTGTCATCATCCGTGAAATGATAGCTTTCAAGTAGGATAAAATTTCAGACCCTTCTTCAAAGGGTCAAAAACAGCCAAGCTACTGCTGCAGAACAATGAAGTGAGTAAACTTGACCTATCATAATTATGATAGAGACATGGTAATTAAGATGATGTGATATGAGCATTAGGATATTCAAATTCATCAATGGAATAAAATGGAAAGCCTAGAAATAAATTCACACATCTATAGATGGCTGGAATAGGACATAGGTTGCACTCTAGGTTCAGTGGGTGAAACATGGGCTTTTTAATCAATGGTACTAAAACAATTAGGTAGCCAAATGGAATAAAAACAAACTGAAAAATGAAATAGACCTTTACCTCACACCTTATTAAAAATTTAATCCCAAGTATATTAAATCTCTAAATATAAAAGGCAAAAAAGTAGAAGATAATATAAAATAATAACTACATGACTATTGAGAGAAGAAAGGATTTGCTAAACTTCACATACAAAATCTTAGCCATAAAATAAAATATTAATAAATTTCTCTACATTAGAAATAAGAATGTCTGTTTACCCAAAGACAACAAAAATCATGTGAAAAGACAAGCCACAAACTA